CATTCATTCATTCATTCATTCATTCATTCATTCATTCATTCACTCACTCACTCACTCACTCATTCATTCATTTATCATATTTATATAGCTGCCCATCTCACACAAAGTGACTCTGGGAGGCGCACAACAACATATAGGTCAGCACTTAACTCTCACTTTGTTTTTAGGATATAATAATTGTACATTTAGCATTAATTTTACTGAAAAACAGTTTTGAGGAGATTTGCTCTTCACTTTCTTATTTGGGTGATTTATGCTTCTTTGCCTCTTTTTGTATCTTAACATCATACAGATTGTCAAGGTCAAGCAGATATGTGAACTTATGTAATTCAGAATGTTCCAAAAGACACTTTTTCACCATTAGCAGTTAAACATGATGACATTCCTAACCCAATCAGAGATACTTATGAATTAGCTATGAATTCAGAAAGTGCAGTCTGGAAGACCATTACTTAAAACAATTTTAAAAAGCAACCTCTGAGAGTTTTTGTATTTTTTCTTTCCAACAGATGTCCAGAAAAACAGAATTCATTCCAACAATCAAAACTTTTTCCTTACCTTAAAACTGAAAATAACTAAAATAGGAACTTAAGTAGAAGAAACAAGTTTCGAGCATGTAAATGAATAGCATTTTTGTGTACTATTCTGGGCACTTGTTAGGCAAAGCCCCCCTCCCCCAAATACTAATGAAAATTACAACAGAGTGAATCATTGGCAAAATAGCAACAATTAATAATTTGTACTATTCTAGATACAATAATGACTCATCTTTATTGTATTGGTTATCTTAAATTCTGGCCTATAGATTTTTTTTAAAGAACTACATTTTCATTACCTTCTATTTGACTATTAATCTACATACAACTATTGATGTTCCTTTCTTTTCATATTAGGAAACCAGAGTAATACATGGTATTTATTATGTGTCTCAATAGTGAATATTGCAATGCACTTGAATAATTATAGCAGCTTACTCTTTCAAACATAGCAAATCAAATGCCGTAACAAGAGTCATAGCTTTCTACATAGGGACCCAAGATATGGTATTTGTTATTATTCTATAAATATAATTCATAATATATATGAATATACAGATTTGTACCTGATGCTCTTAGCTGCCCAAGCAACTGTGTTCTCATTCCTATGATAATCTCCATGGTTGCCTGAGAAAGGAAGTTCTTCTCACAAAAAGCTCTTTCCCAGCCATCACTACGTGCTTTCTGCCATGCCTGCCAAACATGTTGGTTGAAAATGCTTAGAACAACACTTTTTTCCTGATAGGCACATAATACATCTTCAGTGGTCTTTCCAAACCTAATGCCCTTTCCAGAATAGCAAGAATTAATTTATTTCTTCCCATCTCTCAAACTTACGACCATAGCCAAGCAATATCTATACTGGTTCTGCAGGCCCTTTGGGCAGAGGGTCAGATTAATGAATCCAATCCACAATTCAAAAGGCAAGACCATTCCACTGCCTCTGAGGCAACTTGTTAGGAGTTGCAGAAGTCTTCTGAAATTGTGTCCTCTTGAGGGCAAGAAAGTAATAACAGCTGAGAGATCACCAGAAGCCCCAAGTGTTCCTACAGCCAGTGAGTATATTTGGAAAATAAAACTGACAGAAGTAATTTCCCATGCAGCAGTGAAAAGAGCAACATTTTTCAAATCAATGGACAGGACTTCCTGAGCCCTGCATTAATCTTTTCTTACAGGCACCAAAGAAATCAAAGGACAGCTCTATAACAATTCCTCTTTATACACATAGAAGAGATTATGCCTTTCCCACAGCATAATCTTCAGAATTGTTTTCTATTATTATTTCAACGTATACATGATTAAAAAAAACTGAAAATAAGGTGTATTATTTCTATCATGTTTTAAGGAAATTTTAAAAGTTTTAGCAATCAGAAAATGTAATCATGTTACAGTACTACAGAAGCTAGAACTGCAGGCTGCAGAGGCTCCCCACCTTTAACACAGCTTAAAGATGACATTTTTGAAAGGCATGAAGAAAAAGCAGAGAATATGCGCAGAATCAACGTAACACTATAGTCCTTTGCCAGCTGGCAGCAATGAAAAGAGGAAACAAGAAGCAGATGGCAAGCAGAGGCTAGCTGGCAGCAGCAAAAAGGAGACAGGAACTAACAACAACATAGATTAGATTTACAAGGGCTTAATAACTGCTTCTGCCCTAATTATATTATTTCTAAGGTAGCTTTTCAAGATGATTTGATCTAGCTGAAATAGCTCATCTCTTTCAGATAATCAAACATGAATTGTTAAATGTTCTTTTAGCAGATGAACATACAATACCTGGAAAGCCCGAAGAAGGGCCATATGGTCACTAAATGTTCCTGCAGTAAATCGTTTTCTACACAGCATGGCTGCACGTTTTTGAGAAGCCTGCGTGGGCAGCACAAAAGGATCACGATATGCAAGAGTGCAGGCAATGGTCAGAATAGGATCCAGGCACTTCAGAACAACAGCGCATAGCACCATTTTCCCAAGATGGGGCTCTACAGGTAAGTCAGCCAGATGATAGCCAAGTTCTGTTAAATCTTCCCAGGTGTCCATAGCATCTATGGTCTATTAAAACAAATTATAAGCAACGTTAACATAGAGAGACATGCATAATCCAAATCTTTTCTGGGCAGTAATTAAAGTTCAAATTCCATTAATTCAGTATTTCTCCTGTCAGAATTTAATTTAGCTACAAAAGGAAATCGTTATGTATGTACAATTATGAAATATACACAAATATTCACATTTGAAAATTCCTTCTGGTTTGTCAACCTTAAGAAGAACCAAGGTATCGTTAAGATTTTTTTCAATATAACTCCTATAAATCCAGGCAACAAGTCTGGGACATCACATTTTTAAATGTCTTTTTAATGTTTAATTTTAAGTCTTCATTGCAGCAAAGAATGGTAACTGAATTTTTACTGAAATAATAGTACTTTAGCCTCTGCTGTGGAGGCATTATCAAAGTAACAGATAAAATTCAGAGACTGAAGCTCGTTCTATTTACTCACCTTAAGCATCTGCACAGCATTTCGCACAATTAAAGCAGGAGGTGGCTCTGGAGCTTTCATTAAGAAGTCAGCAATTGGACAATTGATGGGAGCTAGCAATTTTGTATGTAAACAAAGCTCCTATAATGTAAAGATAACTTTTTCAGACCATTACTTCATTTATAGTACAATCTTATACATGTCTACTTAGATGTCAGTGATGGAATGGGGTGTTTATTTTTATCAATTTTTTCTACCTATTGTAGCAACTTAAGTGCCTAAGAAAACTACTTTGGTTGAAGGAATCTTCCAAAACATCAGACTACAATCTTGCAGTTCTATTTCAGCATCTATACATCTTTTATTTATCATACCTATTTACTCTCCTGATATTTCCCCAAAATTAATGCTGGTCACTAGATGATTAAATAAGCCATAACTGTCTTCTGACATTCAGGAATAATTAGATAATATAAAATCAAATATTAATCTTTAGTAACTCTTACTCACTATAGACTTGGCAAAACACAACAAAAAGAAAACAATACCCAGCAAACTCAGTTGGTCTTACTCACAAATAAGGATGCCTAGGATTGTAATTCAACTGCATATATTTACTTAAGGTACAACATAAAAAAGAAAATCTGAGAAATATATTAGTTTCTTTAACATCCTGAAGCAGAAGCTGGCAAAACAGCAGGCATCAAAGTGCCTGCAGCAACCCTAAATTGTTGATTTTTTTTCAAATGCTGAAATCACATGAGGTGTCAGACTTTGTCAGGCAAGATTTCAAACATTTGATTGCTGAAAACCTGTGAGATTTCAGTGATTTAAAAATCCGGTGCAAAAAAAAAAATATGTGGAGATTTGTACCTTCAGGATTATTCCAGGCAATGTTGTATATGCAGGCATGAAAAAAAACCCCACAACAGTGACTATCACCAGATTCAACACTGCATCATATTAGCAAAGCTCTTGTTCAAGAGACAGTGGGGCTGAAACGCAGGATATCTAATTTATGCAACATGTGATAAAAATGTGCATAACTATCCCATTCAGTATTTAGCACAGTTGAAAAGTACTAGGTAATTTTAAATATTCAAAAGATTTCAAGGTTTTCCATGCAATGCCTCCAAAACGGTTTTCAATATAATCATTGTCTATATATTTATTGGATATTCATTGCACACAGGGATCAACCAGTTTGTTTTACAGTTTGTTGGACAAGCCAGACTCAGTCTTATAAACATATGCATACATATACGTACCCAGGCACATACACACACTTTGGTAGGGTAAAACTTAGAAACCATCATTTTATATTGTCCTCAGGCTACTTCTTGGATATGGAAACAAACTCATGAACTAACATTTCTATAATCACTGTTTCAAAATTATGATTAATGAAAACTGAATCGGGGGTATTAGATGAATTAAATCACTGTGGTATTTCACAGTTTGTACTAAGCCTCTCTAGTTTATAGGCTAGTTGTGAGCCAAATCCTCACAGGTGATTAAACAAAACTTGGCTTGAACTCAAACACAGTATTATGAGCGTCTAACAGACTTAGAAGAATAAAAAGTACCCACTTGTAGAGGCATTCTTAGAAGTTCAGGAGTCTGAAATTCCAACATATTTTGAAATCTTAGTCTACTGAAAAGTCGAAAACAAATTCCAGGTCGACAACGTCCTGCCCTTAGAAGTAAAACAGTATTTAAGATGAATTAAAACATTAAAAAGTATATAAGTAAATTATCAAAGCAGACTTACAAATAAATTTTCAATTAAAAATTCATTCATTAAAATTTCTGTTCCAAGTGAAAATTTTCTTCCCACTTTTAATTTTATATACCTGTGAGGGTTTCTTGTCAGGTCTGGAAAATAGATTTCTTTCTTTCTTTTTATGAGGTACCTTACAAAAATACTGAGCATCTCTAAAACAAGCTTAGGAAACCAAAAAATTCTTAAAGTTTTATTACCTGCCCTTCCTCTGAACAGCACTTGCTTTAGAAATCCACACCATCTTAAGCATAGTTACACAATTCAGTGCATCAAAGGACTTCTAGAATGTTAAGAAAATATATACATTGTAAAATATCTACATTTATTTATTAATTACATTTATATTCTTCCAACTCTTGGCAGTTAACATGATACAGAAATGAACACCAAGTTATTATTTCATTTAACTATGAAATTATATGTAATATAATAATATAATTATTATTTTTATTACTTTACACAAGTAATGCCAACATATTTTGCTTTCATTAAATTTTTCTACCAAATATTTTTTAATTAAAATATACATTAAAGATAGCATACCTCTTTCATTTTTCCTGAGTCAATCACAAAAACAACATCATTTACTGTAATACTGGTTTCTGCAATATTTGTAGAAAGTATCTGCAGAAGCAAAAATAACAACCTTGTAAGGACAGCTAAAGTGAAAGAGGGAACAATCATTAAATAACTAAAGTCGTTTGATACTTGCTATTTTGCGTATGCCTGGAGGAGAAGTCTTAAGAACCTTTTTCTGGTCAGTTGTCTGCATATTTGAGTGCAGCATAAACACCTGGAATCTAAGAGCAAAAAATCAGAATGAAATAGTTAAAAAAAATGCAGTTTTGTAAAGTAAAACCAAAAGCCCTTCAAAATAAAAATATATAAACATTTACCTGTGAGCATTATCAGCAAATCTCTTGTCATCAAATAGTATGCGATCTCTCAATCCAACTATCTCATCATATCCAGGAAGAAAAATTAAAACTGCACCTGAAACAAAGTTCAAATGCTAAGATGAACCTAAGCAACTGTAGTTATTGTGGCACTCAAACTTCTCACAAATGATAAAAATAGCCTCAGAATTCTGAGGAATTATGTATGTTGTCATCAGCTTGAAAATTCAAACACCTCCTAAAGGGTTCTTTTATTATCAGCTAGTTCAAATAATCCCTGAATGGGAATGTGCTACAAATGGAAACAAAAGTAAGCCAAGGTTTATGTTCCCTTGCCTACATAACTGAATGTGAAACAAAATCTCCCCAATTTCATTTGTACACATTTAGGCCTTGCTCACAAAACATTATTAACTGCAGGAAAGAGTGAGAATATGCAATCACATGCTGCTGAAAAAATATAAAAATAGCACTGCCGAAGTAGGTCAAAAGGCACATACAGTATCCTTTTCTTGCAATCTCACAAAATGTACATGCTGGTCTTGGGATACATGCCAGAGTATAATACAAGTAATCCATCCTTCAGTCACTGATCTTTAGCGTATCTTTCCAGCCAGGTCTTTCAGAATTTTTAATGTTAAGATTTCATAGTTTTTTATTTCTAACCATCCAGAGTGACCAGGAATGAGCAACAAAAAACTTTTACTAATAAATAAATAAAGCAAACAAGCCTTGATATTAAACAATGTATTACAATTGGACATAACAATATGGATCTTACCTGCATCACAGCTATGACAGATATTGTATAGTAGGTGCATGATCAGGTCAAGATCTACCTTTTCATCATCAAAACTGTGGTGGTAAGCTTTCAGGAGTTCTCGATCTTCTGCACTAAGTTCACTAGCATTAGCATGGACCAAGGAACTTTCATCTAAATTACCAGACTCTAATGAGGCACTAAAATATATAGCAGAGATAAGTAAGGTAAGATAACACTTATGAAATACAGAACCAAGTTTCATTAAACGTCAAAAATCAGAAGTCCCAAAATGTTTTTTTCAATTTCACAAATACTTAGAAACCACAAAGGAATCTTTCTAGGAACGTAAGGGCATTGACTCAACAAAGACATTCATTAATGGGGAATTTTTTGTCTACTTTGTCTTTCACTCTCAAAACCCTATAGAGCCAATGCAATGTTCATAGGAATTCTGTCTTTGGTTAATAATCCATTGAATTTACCTGAATGGAGTAGGTTCATAAAACTAACTTCAATTAAACCATAATCTTAGTCACACACTTTGTTTATTTATCTATCTATCATATTTGTTCAATTCACTCAGGACTGTTTGAAAACACTGAAAAATCAATCCCCACAGAAAGGAATATGGTTAACACTGTCAGTATGAAGTACCAACCTATTTACCCTAGTGGCACCAAGGTGAAGGGCTAGGGGGTTAAGCGTTTATTCCAAATTCCCAATGGTTTCTGTAGCTCAAAGATGACAATACAGAATATTTGAGTTATTTTGAGTTTCAGAACACAGCTAACTCAGAACGTTCTGATAGAATGTTTCATGTGGTGCTGTTCTGAGCATGAAATAAAATATGTCTATCACTCTGTGGACATATTTAACAGATGTCAACGCTAAAAAAATATGTTTCATATTAAATTACTTTGTTTTTTAAACTTCTTCTCATATTGTGTTACAATTGCTGTTCAATAATGTTCCAGTTCATCCTATTTCATATCTTTCGAATACAGGCTAAAATTTAGAAATAAATCATTTGCTAATTTTGCAAGGACCACTAATACCTCGTTTTAGAGGTAGCTTGGCTTTAAACCTAGAATTAACATATGCATCAAGAAGAAAATAAACTGTGAAGTGCAATGTCTGGAATAAAAATAGCTTGGGGATGATCCTAAAAGTATTTAAGGTTTGTACTAAACATTAAGAGCCCTTCAGAATATCATTAAGAAACTCTTTTTCCTATTTAAACTTTACAATAAAACGTCTTTTTTTAAAAAGCGTAATCTGCTTCAAAAAACATTCCAAAGGCCTAGATAGAATTGTGTTAAGTAAAGGATCTCCATAAATCAGATATCAAGAGCACCCCAATCATAAACAAGGCTTTGATAGATTTCTGTAGTGCATTTCAGTATCAGGAAATACATTACCAATAGGATTCTAGCAGGTCAATTACTTCTGTATGCCCGAAGTGTTTAGCCCAATCCAAAGCTGTCCTGTAAAAGCATTTAATAAAATGTTTGGCTTATGCACAACAATAGAACATTTTCAATACTTTTTAGCTATATTCATTATAGGATTTGCAATAGGGCTATGAAGATCTTTCCAAAGGGATGCTTCACAACGACATGTAAACCATGCAGACACATATATAAAGCATTATAAAACAGCTATATAACCTAGAAAAAACATGGTTGCTTTAATAGTTGCAAGAAATGTGCTTTGTACATCCTCCTTTGCACTGCAAAACATCTTTTTTGAAGAATCTGGACAAGCCTATTTGTAAACTTGTTTTATTACTGTTATATAAATTAATGAGTCTCTCTATGATAGGAAAAAAGTATTTTGATAATATTTGGACCTCTAAGATTAGACCTTTAACTACTGCCGCAAAATATTTATTTACGTTCTCTGACTACTAATACAAGTAATCTGTAGTGTGTGTAAAAGTAATTATTTTTCTCTGTTGACATAGTTATTTGCAGCACTGCCTATCTCTGGTTATTTCTACCAGTCTCACTAGGTTGCACAGGATAGGGATGTTCCAGATCCCCCCTCTAAGGTGATGCCATCTAATGGGATGTAGAAGATGCATCCTCTCTATTATTATGCTTGCCCTTTGGAATGATCTTCTCTATTATTGTGCATATTCTCTAGTATGCATCTTCTCTGTTATTGTGCCTGCCCTCCCTTTCCCCCATTCCTGTAACCATCCTGGCTTTTCTTCTGTGCATTGGGCCAGGATGGTAATTGAGCCCATTTTGCTTGTTATCCCCAGCCTTGGGTATGGTATGTGTATGACTTGTAGTTGGTAAAGGAACAAAGCAGTTAAGAAATATGCCACAGATTACAGGTGAAACTCAAAAAATTAGAATATCGTGCAAATGTTCATTTATGTCAGTAAGGCAACTCAAAAGGTGAAACCAATATATGAGATAGACGCATTACATGCATCTACAGGTGAAACTCGAAAAATTAGAATATCGTGCAAATGTTCATTTATGTCAGTAAGGCAACTCAAAAGGTGAAACCAATATATGAGATAGACGCATTACATGCAAAGCGAGATATGTCAAGCCTTACTTGTTCTACAGGTGAAACTCGAAAAATTAGAATATCGTGCAAATGTTCATTTATGTCAGTAAGGCAACTCAAAAGGTGAAACCAATATATGAGATAGACGCATTACATGCAAAGCGAGATATGTCAAGCCTTACTTGTTCTACAGGTGAAACTCGAAAAATTAGAATATCGTGCAAATGTTCATTTATGTCAGTAAGGCAACTCAAAAGGTGAAACCAATATATGAGATAGACGCATTACATGCAAAGCGAGATATGTCAAGCCTTACTTGTTCTACAGGTGAAACTCGAAAAATTAGAATATCGTGCAAATGTTCATTTATGTCAGTAAGGCAACTCAAAAGGTGAAACCAATATATGAGATAGACGCATTACATGCAAAGCGAGATATGTCAAGCCTTACTTGTTCTACAGGTGAAACTCGAAAAATTAGAATATCGTGCAAATGTTCATTTATGTCAGTAAGGCAACTCAAAAGGTGAAACCAATATATGAGATAGACGCATTACATGCAAAGCGAGATATGTCAAGCCTTACTTGTTCTACAGGTGAAACTCGAAAAATTAGAATATCGTGCAAATGTTCATTTATGTCAGTAAGGCAACTCAAAAGGTGAAACCAATATATGAGATAGACGCATTACATGCAAAGCGAGATATGTCAAGCCTTACTTGTTCTACAGGTGAAACTCGAAAAATTAGAATATCGTGCAAATGTTCATTTATGTCAGTAAGGCAACTCAAAAGGTGAAACCAATATATGAGATAGACGCATTACATGCAAAGCGAGATATGTCAAGCCTTACTTGCATGTAATGCGTCTATCTCATATATTGGTTTCACCTTTTGAGTTGCCTTACTGACATAAATGAACATTTGCACGATATTCTAATTTTTCGAGTTTCACCTGTAGAACTTGGTAGAGCAGCCATGATGGCCTTGGAAAAGATATTCATATACAATGATGCGACTATGCCTACAGGGTCAAAATAGTGCAAGCCACGGTATTCCCTGTGACACTCTATGGAAAGTTGGATTTTAAAGAAGCAGGATAGGGAGAGTATTGATGCTTCTGAACTTTGGTATTGAATAAAACTCCTGAAAATACTATGGACAGCCAAGAAAACAAACAAATGGATCACTGAACAAATAAACCCAGAGTTCTCACTCAAGGCACAAATGACCAGGCTCAAATTATCCTCCTCCACATTATGCGAAGACCTGGCTCTTGAGAGGAGGCTCTAATGCTGGGAAAGGTGGAAGGAAAGAGAAGAAGAGGATGGCCAGCAGCAAGGTGGGTGGACTCAGTTACAGTGGTGATGGGTGTACCATTGGAAGACCTGAAAGACCAGGTTAGGTACAGATCATCATGGAGAAAATCTACCTACGGTGGGGCAAAAAAGTATTTAGTCAGCCACCAATTGTGCAAGTTCTCCCACTTAAAAAGATGAGAGAGGCCTGTAATT